ACGTGCTGTCGCTTCGTTTGGATCATAGTCAAATAATATTCTATCTCAACTTTCCTCTTCAGAGGAAGAGATTGTATCCACACCGGACCTCAATATGCCTGGACTCATTACATCCTTAGCCTCACGATGAAATTATACATTCTTTATCATTGCCAGCGGAGGCTCTCGAATGTGCTTTATCAGCACATTTTCAGAGCTGGTGAGTGCATCTAGTCGAGTAACTACCGCCTCCGGCCCTTTGGTCACCAATTTCTTCAACTCGATTACACAAATAATAAACATAAGCTTATTAAGCTGTTATACTTACCCCGGAGACAGGAAGTCGAATGGGTAAGGCTCAATCCTTGCAGATGATACAGTGTTTCCAAGCCTAGGTCCTGAAATTACTGTAAATTGAAACGTATTGATGTGTACTCTGCACAGTTGGGACCGTACACTTCTTCCAAAAGCAAATTGAGAGCCTTTACCAAATATAGGTGTCTAGAAAGTTTGCTATTCCTGATTACAATATTTAGAATCAATGATATTTCGCGAGATACGAATACAAACGTTTTACTAAATCTTATAGTTTCTGACGATGCACCAGCCTGTGTCACATACCCATCGTCGTTAGTCCGGACCCTTCGGTACTGTAGATATTTGCAATTACATTAGAGCTCAACATTGCAGTGAGAAAGTATGTGTCGTCATTTGCGTTTTTTGTTGAAGCAAAAAGTGGGTCAATAGGGATGATAAATTCATAACACTTAGCGCCGACATTCTGTGACCGAAGTACTGACAGGAAGAGGCAAATAGTGCATACTTTATACAAGCTAGACGTTGCAATAATTTTGGCGCAAACACCGACTCTTTGAAACACACAGCACGGTTGCGCTTGTTCAGTGTTCTCGACCTAGTAAATGGTTTTTGGTCTGCTGAAGAAGGACAACTGGTTTTCTCTAACCGCAGCGAAAACCCCGAGCGGGATGCTTTGAAAGTACGTGATCATGCTGTAGATCTATCATATCCACCAGAAACGTTAAATTGAATGTGGACACGGCCGTTCAAGCCCCATCGTGGCTAAGCACAAGCGGATTTCTTTGTAGTCGCGCACAGCACGGGAAAGCCGGATGTGAAGAGCCACATTAAACAGTTGCGAGCAGCGCTCAAATGGATGGGCTCAAATTAGCTATTAGCCAATTCGACAATCGACAATGTTTTTTTTAGTAAGTTGCACAATGGAAAGCAAGACTTGCGGACATTCTCCGCGACGACAAAGTCCATTAAAGATCGGCCAGGGCCACTGCACCAAGATTGGTTGTGGCAATGGCCAAATCAGGCCAATTATCTGCATAAGCACATGTAAACCATGCCGAAATTGCATGGTACCTCTCCAATATCTCGAGAGCGATATCATATAGTGTTGCGGTGCGGTAGAAAAGGTAGCCGTTAAGGTTATAAAAGACTGCCATATATGCGCTCTGATTCTGTTTTTACCGACTCTAAATTGGTCCACAAATGTCGTCTGTGATGCTTCATCCTTTGCTAAAGGCTACGTTTTGCCTTAAGCAGATGTCGATCGGCTTGAACACGTGCTGCCTGCCAGATGAAAGCTGCTGAGAAGAGACCCCCTATTTTGGACAAGAAGCTTCTAGCATCAACGTATACTCTCGTCAAGTTCATGATGCACCTGCCCATTGAATCGTTACATACCTGCGTCGCTGCGCATAATGTCGACTTTCCCACATCACTCACCGATATATAAAGATGTTATCCTATTCAACCGAAAGTACCTAAGAGGTATGGTATAAGCCGGGTCGGCTTGATGTGGTGGCGTATGCGCTTTCGTTTCACCCGACTGTGATCAGTGGCATGTCAAACTGATGAAGTCACCAATTGATACGGCCATACTTACAGCGTACGGGTCAGACGCGCCACACGGAAAGAAGTCATCTGGGGGCTCCCATGTCGTTTGTTGAAGCACACGGCTGCACGCCTGCATCGCTGTGCCAAATCTTATGACTTGCTGTATTGCAGCGCTGACCCACACAATATTCAGCGCACTATGGTCCCTCACGATAAGAAGCTAAAGCACATCATTCGTCTTGGGTGGCAACTCAAAAGAGACCAAACATCCGGCTTGATGAGGACTGCGGATTGGTGGTCCAACATGTATTTGTGGATAAGCGCATATGTGTGCAACATGACAATGGGATTAATCCTCGCCGCATGTGACTGCATTTTTGTCTAGGCTGTATATTCTTGCAGCATGTGACGACATCTTTGACTAGACTGCACGCTCTTGCAGAACATTGATAACCTTGAAGTATGATATTTGGTCGTTCAAAAGACGAAAGTGGTAATTCCAATACCGGTAGTGGTCTTTGTTAAGATAATTTGACCGGTGATGATGCATCAACATTGTTCCTCGACAAAGTGTTTCACTAGCATGGCGCACCAAAGGCCATTGTACCCATTAAAGACCCTTGCTTTACAGCAAAATGTGAGCCTTTTATGCTCGCGGTACCGGATGTCAACTGCTGACCATCCGTAAACAGACGGTTAGACAAATTACGTGAATCACGTTCTGTATGATACCATTCAAAGTACTATCCCGGAGAGATTGCGATTTTGAAGCGAGTTGATCTCACTCAATGCGTTTGCGTCGGAAAACACAACAGATGTTTTCACAGGCTTTATTCGGTTTGACAAACTTTGGTATGAATCAATATAACCCAAAGTGGCCCCGATCATTGAGGGAGAGGAATCGTCGATCAAAATATACTTATAGACGTTATCTAACCCATACTTAGTCGCAAATTTACTTTTCCGCTGGGCGATATTGAGCATGATGTGCAAGATGTGCTACGCTTAAGCTGAGAATTTATACAAACAAGAGCAACACGCCGTCCCAGAGGTAGGCGGAACAGATACGAATTTGTAGTGTGCACGTATTACAGAATCCATTTTTTCACACTCATACGCTGTGTCTGCGGTCTATACGACTAAGCTGTGACCGCGCTACATTATGCCGTTTACAGTCGTAGAGAGATAGATATCGAGTGAATGTGAACAAAATCTCAAGGGTCTATGTGTGCTTACCGATGCCATAAACGATTTTGCTCGTACGAATGTGTATAACATGTGAGCTCTGTTGCAAACGGACAACATCACCACCATCTCCCTCTACCTGAGCTATTCGATTCTTAATCAGCGACGTGGTTATGAAAAGACCTGGTGTGTATTAAGGTGCGCAGTGCGATGACAAAGCTTCAAGAGCAAATCCGACTTTTGACTCATTCTGGTTCCGGATATACGCTGAAACTATCGGAGAAAGTCGACGCGCAGCCGGATCACAAAATCAGCCGCGGAAAGACGACCTCCACCAGCACTGCTCATTGATCAATGCCCGGTTCACTGTCATGAAAACGTTTAGCGGACCGACGGATACACCAGGGAGCTACTAGTATCTGTTGAGGTGAATAGCGTTATAACTTTACTTTGGCCAGTCTGCCCTGGTGTCGCGACCGTTAATAATCTAGCGCACATTTTCCCCCTGAAGAAGTGGCAGCGTCACTTGTATCTGTACATTTCCCACTAGTGAATGGATGCCGGCTTTATGGCGAGTATGACCCGTATTCGACAGTCGTTACAGCTGTCTCATGGAGCTGAGCGGGGCTGGAGATTACAGAGACGTAAGGTGATGGGTTGTCATCTCGACGTCCGTGTCGTACTTTGTACATTTGCAAAGTCGAGCAGGATATAATGTTCTATGCGAACATCCGCTTCGCTGAAATCAGTGAGTCTAAAAACGAATGAAGCGAAAGGATTCCTCACCTAGTGTATATGTTGAGTTTTTACTCGACGATACTCTCGCCAGCTTTAAGGATCCAATATACAGTCCTCACGAAGGTACGTTTTTTTCTCACCGCTACTGCTCTAACCGTATTCGGTAGCAACCACCTCTGGGTTGAAAAAAGTACCCGTAGAAAGGCTTTCTTTTGCTTGATTCTATGATACACACGCAGGCGCTCCGCACTAGCTGACCAAGCCACCTCAGGCGGTCTATGACCACAATCGCGGCGTGATGATTAGGTAAGAATCGACGTGACTCTTGTGCTTTCAGTTAAGCAAACAAGGATCCATGAGAGAGCTTCAGCCAGCATTGCACGAGCTGAACAACGTCGTGGTTTCTTGGCGAGATTTTGATACACGTAATTCCAATGGAAAAAACAATTTCAAAATTTGTGCAGCGGAGAGGAGTGCAGTAAGAGTTTTCTTTTCGGAGAAATGACCTCGCCATCCTCGTTGATGACTTCATTCAGCGCGCTGAACGCAATGACCGAGCACTTAATGAAAGCCCGTCGAGCCATCTAATTTAACGCACGGGAGCAAAGTTCCCTGAAGAATAGACACCAATCGTAAAGTGCAGATAGTATAACTTCAGATGCAGTGGTCGCTCGGGGGCAGACACATTTACGCTGTGTCTTGAAGACAAAATTCGTGTGAAACGAGGCAATTACTGTAATCTTGTGTCCATACCCTACACATCTAGTACCATTGTTCAAAATTCACATTACGCTTGGTGATGTTGCTTACATACATAAGTACCGTAATTCCGGTCGTGTGACGATCACTGAGCTTTAGATGGAAGCTATCCGTCATACGGCAGGAAATCGCTTGTTTCGTTATACGATATAGCGAAACGGATATGTTTAGTATCCGTTATGTAGCCTCAAATCGAACGAAACGTACTTTAAAATGTAAAGCTGAACAAACGTTCATTTTTAGTAGCCTGAGAGGCTATCGGCTCCGCTCCTGTCGTGCACAAACCTAAACTTTGGGCATTGTTGACGCGGACTCTTTAGTCAAAACTTCCTCTGTGCGGAGTGCAGGGCAAACCCTTTGTAATGACTGACAGCGAAAGCGTCCAAAGCATTGGAATTTGTACGCATTAGCCAACAACGATTGTCTCAGCGTCGATTACGAGGTGCAGCCAAATACTGTAGGCTTACGATTCCATGAGTATAGAGCTATTCCGAGTGCTGCAAAGGTAAATGCAAATTAACATTTTGAGAATAAAAAATTACATCTTCAATAATTGTCTGGTGTGCACTTGGTGTACAGCTATAATCAAGGAACATGGCAAACTCAGCACCATTTGCAGACCTCTGCCACCAAGCGCACACTGCTTCGGTCCATGGACGCCAGCCTCGTGGCGAATGAGATATCACTCCCTGGTAGCTATCATGACTCATCGTCGCTTTCTAGACCCGAAGTGGAGCCTACAATGCGCTTAGCAGATGTGCTAAATGGCCCCGAGCAGTTTAATTTTCACCAGTATAGACCGCAGCTGTAACAAGTGCTTCTAATTGTAAACTTATGCTTATATAAAATTGTCGCTAGGTCTTTTGGGGTCATGACAGGACGCAGACTACAGCGTCGATATCAAGGCGTGTATCAACGGTACTCCTTCATGACGCAACTAGTAACGTGGCTCGTTATCATAACCATTGTGGTCTTCGTCATACTTGCTGCAAACGAATCAGGTACAGCTCAGATTCCTTACGATACTTATATATTCTGGATAACTCTTTTTACTATCGCTGCAGCGTCCAATAGCAATCTAATGTCCCAATCTATTAATTTTTGGTACTTTGCGGTGATCGTTGTGGTCTTGTACATCCTCGTGCAATTGACATTAATTGTGCGATGGATCATATATTGGATTATCCTGGCTGAGTCGCTGACATATGCAATCACAGGCAATCTTTTTGTGATGTATTGGATCGATAATCATGAAGTCACTGACTCCGACAAACAAGTGCGTTTTGTCATGATTATTATCCTCTCCTCTGTCGAAGTGATTACAGTGATGGCTTATTGGCTCACGCATTATGTGTACCCGTGGCTGGTTTTGCGTCAAAAGTTTGATCTTGTAAATTGGTGGAATATTAAAGCAGGAGATGAGACAAATACGCTGACGTACCTGTCGAAAGCTCGGTTTTACACTAGAAAACGTAGTGTTATTAAGTATTGTGGCGGACTGAACGCGCTTGGTCAGCCACATGGCTACGGAATGTGGACAGACACGTCATACCATGGCGAAAGATTGACGGGTCAGTGGGAAAATGGCAATCCAATTGGCCCCTTTCGTAGTTTTGAGCATGGAAGTGGATACTCTTTTGTAAACATTCGTGTTGGGTTTTGTCACAATAGGGCGGAAAAGTCCTCGTCAAAGGTTTATTTCTTTCCGAAACATTCGGAAAATGGGCTTAATTGGGGTGTTGCAAGCGTAGAATGTTCCGTGTCCGGTGGATTTTTTAAATACCTGCCTGCAGTGACACACTTGACTCCTTCGGACGAAAACAAGGCACCTAAAAATGCGGCCGAATGTCTTTCGGTACTAAGGACTCCAACAGATGGTGTCGTGTTTAACCATAAGGATGATAAAGCAATGGATCTGAACCAACATTGCGATGAACGCGCTACGAGACGGCATCTTTTTCGGGAAAAGTCGTCCCCTGTTCTTCATCTTAGCAACAATGACGAACGCAAAGAGGCTCTGATCTTGTTGCACGGCTACAGCTGTGCTCTGGACTATGGTATTCAGCGTCTGGCACAGCTACTTGCGCTCGGAGATTTCCCCTCTTACATTCACCCATTTGTGTTTAGCTGGCCTAGCGGTGGTGTGCTCGCATTTTTTCAAGGTGAGACGATAAAACTTTTTTCTCGAACAAGTATGTGCATGCGTGAACTTTTAGTGCTTTTATGCAGCCAAGGAAGTTGGCAGTGAAGGAGAACGTACAGCTCACGATTTTATTCTCTTTTTACAAAGCTTGATCGATGCGGGATACACTAAGCTAAACATTATTGCGCACTCAATGGGAGCGCGAGTATTCTTTAGCTCATTAAACAAGGGACTCTTTGACAGAGTATTTTTGGTATGCCTTCCTTTTTCCCCACGAGGTAGTAATCTCAATATTGACTCGGATTCGGTTTTTGGTGTCTAGCCCGCAGAGAGCGATGTCAATGCAGATGTTACCCCAAAGAGAATGAGGCTTTCCACTTTGACTTTGTGTAACCCAGATTACGATCGCAATGAGTTCGTGAAGTATGGAGGAAGTTATGATCGTGCACGGTATTTCTGCAATCACTTCACGCTATACGCAGACAGTTTGGATGGTGCACTCTTCTACTCTGAATTTTTGTTGAAAAAGTCTATTACAGGTCCACTCAACTATTCGCTTGGGAGGCGTGGACACATGATTCATCGAGATTTAGAAGATGATAAGCCGACCGAGCGGTCTGATTCGCTATTTCCTGACTTGCAGCACAAAGACTTATCTCCACCTCAAGATTTGGATTTAGCTTTTGCAGCTGTGAATCGGCGAGCAAATTATCCTGGTTTGACTCTGTTTGCATACAACCGCAGCAGGACGCAGCTTATTGATAATGGATCAGCACCGTATGGCATGACTAGGAGCACTACCTTTAAAGAAGATACCCCGGCACATTATCTTGACATGGATGTGATCGACACGACCTGGATGGATAACAATGTGCATGCAATCCGACACAATTACTTTAATCTCAACCCGACTATTGTAAGTAAAGTTTTCTGGACAGGATATTTTCCAAAAAAAATTGATTCTGTGAACTTTCCAGGTCGACGACCTTCGACACTTGATCGTATTGAAAAAGCGAGCTGGATCTCGCCCTGGTTTATTGAAAACTACATCTGCTGAGAACGTCTACATTTTCCTTGTTGCACCCTCGCATGTTAAAAACAAGTAAAATTAGTTTTGATCATACTTAAGTGTGGATTTACGGAATATAAGTCTCTGATTCACTCGCACTTACCCGAGCTCCCACGCTACCTCAATCCGCATCACTTAAATTGTCAACAAAGCAGGTCGTGCATCGCGTCGCTTCAAGAGATTCGCGTCGTCGTTTGCACCACTCAATTACCTCTGCAGTAATTTGATTTTCATTGTTCACTGGTCACAGCATTCTACGGACTCATACATTGCACTTGAAGTAAAATCGCACGACTTCATGGCTCGAAATATTGTGTCACATATGACACAAGCGAAAAGCCGAGACCCGCGTGTGCACCACTCCGCCTCGGGAAAGGATGTTGTGGTTCCTATTGTACTTTGGAGAGAACCACCTCAAGTCGAAATCTCGGCTTTGCATGTCCTCGAACTGCCGACTTCCCAGCCCAGTCAAAACTCGTCTATCTCCTTTTTTGAAGATGAAGACAACAAATCTTGTTGCACACAATTATGTGTCTTTGCAGGTACAAAGGACGGTCATGTTATATACTGGCGGTTTGATGAAGATTCGGTAGCACAAGTGAATATTCTTGTATTCCCAACTAGCAGTGGGTACCCTGTTGTGGGCATTATAAGTGGAATAGATGAGTGGGGACAAAGCACAGTTTTTTCTGCCACAAAAGACGGTGCTTTGGTCAAATGGCTTCTGCCGAATGGAGCATGTGCAGAAGCCAACGCTACGATCGCAAAAGCGTTGGCACCACTCTCGGGACTTGAAATGCTGGGGAATAAAAGGTTTGCAGTCGTCGTGAGTGAATTATCACGGCTCATGGTATTCGATTCGTGGAAAATGGAGCTTTTGTACTGCATGAATACTGCACAAGAGCAAATACGACGCTGTGTTGCAGTTGGAGAACTTTGGAGACCACATACTGAAGCCCTCCGACCAAAATTAAAAAGATCAAGTAGCGGATCAACAATTGATTCAGCTTCAATGTTGTTAAACGCGGAAAATTTGAATGATCAATCCATACCATTATCGTCGCGAAAGTCGATTCCAAATCGAGCATCTGATGCTAGACGAATGGCTATGTTATTATCGCCGATCCGAGCTACACAACAGTCGTCGCCACAGTGGGACGCAGTCGTGATTTCCCTGGGTGTAGAAGGACTTATCAAATGCTTCCTATGGACGCAGCCACGGGGCACTTCTGGTCGTACAATGTTCAGTTTTATGGATAGTGGTGGTGCTGATGGAAGTTCTCGCTGGGTGCAACGTACCAGCTGGGTGATCTCGTGGGCAGATCAGGCGCAGGATATCACGTGCTCTCAAAGCACGTCAATGAACGATGGCGACAATATGAACCCGCAAACTGCACTGATGGGCTCAATCAAGAGCAGCTATTTTCCACTCTCTGTGAAAATATCGTCAGACTCGTCGCGTGTGCTTTTCATCTGGAAAACAAAATTTGTCGTGATAAAGAGGAAGTGGCTCTGTCCATTAGAGACACAAAGTGATCGGCAGCGAAAATCGAAGTCTTTTGGAACACCACGAGCAAAATTTGTTGCTGGAAGTTGTAATCTTGCACCTTTTGAATTTGTACGACAAGCAGCGACATTAAGTGGCAATAAAGGACTTTCGTCGAACTATATTGGAAGCAAATGTGATACTGTATTTTGGGAGAACGGCATGTTCTTGGAAGACGGCACTGTTATGATGTGGACGAATTCGAAGCATGTATTTCAATTTCCAGCAGCCAAGGTGTCCGATAATGCTGCTGGCGAGCTTTTTATCTTTACCAAGAATCAGGATCAGCTCGTTCCACGCTCTGATTCAAAGGCACTGCGAATGATTGACAAGGCTGTGTATGTCACTAGAATGGATGGATGCAAATGCTGTGATTGCAATGCAGACAATATAAAAGGAGCGAGGCGTAAGACGATCAAGTCGCTGCTGTTGTTAAAAGAACGACAGCGGCATCCAGGGTTCACGTCGTGCATCAGCACACATTCCTTGACTGCCTCAAAACTAACAATTTACCATGTTTGCCACAATGGAACGATTGGAATTCGGACAACGGCAGCGGGACGAGTATCACCACCGACAAGCGATTTGCCGACATCAAGCAACACATTTAGTAAGATTTTGACTACTCAGGTGCTAACCTTTCAACCTGTACGATTCTTCTCGCTCACGAATGGGTTTGAAAGTGCTCTAAGTGATGTAAGAGGTGAACATACGAAGGGTACCCAGGAGCAGTCACAACATCAAGATTGCTTAGCTCACATCATACTCGGAAGAGACGATGCCCGCTCATCGTCAACATATGAGGTGGGTAGACAAGCGAGAAGACGTCGAAATCGTCAGCAGCCTTTGAATAAACAGGCTGATGAGCGGATAAGCTCACCCGGAATTGGACCATCATTCACGAGCACTGCAGCTGCTGTGATGGCAAATAACGTAAGTGTCCTGGCCAATGTATTGGCGCCAATTACTGTACGCAGTGCAGTTCAGGATCGGAGAGAAAAAAATCTTGGATTCGATCTCAGCGCAGATCAGGCGGACGACTTAATGTTTCGAGACTTGCTCGACATTCCTGTCATCGCTCAAGGATATGCCGATGGAATGCTCTGTATCGGATTACTCAGCCAAGAGTTCTCAGCAAAAACGGGCACAAATTCAGAAATAAAATTCGGATTACGATCGACTTGCCATTCGGGACGTATCACGACACTTGCACATTGTTTCTGGAGACTTGAAACCACTTCCACTTCCTATCCATCACCAATGTCACCTAGTCGAGTATCAATGGACAAAATGTGCTTTGCAACAAGACACAATCGCTTTTACCGATCGCGGTTTACGAATGTTTCTCTGGAGCAAAACATCGGCGATCGACATCGTAATGATAGTAGAGAGAACCACAATCGTCCAAGTTTTTCCAAGTTCGACACCTCGATTAGTTCAGATCCAGATATTGCGCATAATCATGGCGGTTCTTGTCCATTCCAGCCTTATGTTAAGATCTTTGTGTTTAGCGGTGGCACGGATGGTGTATTTCAAGTATTAGATCTCCGTCTGTTTCGATCAAATGAGGCAGCGAGTGAGATACGCCATGAAGTGAACATTGTGCACAGGTTTCGCAATCATCGCGGTGCCGTTCAGCAGATAAGCATATCACCACTCAAAACGAGCAATAACGGACCGAATTCGGATAGAGAATACCCAGACAGATGGGTTGCGACGGTCGGTTTTGATCATAAAGTTGTACTATATGGTCCTCAGTACTTGGAACACCCCGAAAATAAAGAGGCTTCCAGCTGTGATTTTGTCTGGTGGGATTGTGTGTTCGAGTTCGCTAATCACGCTGATCGCATTTGTAATCTCGAGTGGCAATTAGAGCGTGGGCTGCTTTGTGTTGAGTGCGATGATCGGATGGTGTACGTATGGAGTCTCGACACGGGAATTCTTGAGCGCATAGTTCCATGTGCGCTTCTTTATGGCGACGGTAATTTGTCGTGCGAATCATCAAGCACCGTCAGCTCTCCGCTGGTCGACTCAAAGCTATTTATTGGCAAAACTGCAGTTCATTTGATCGAGTTTGCCGCTCTTCGAAGTGCCAATCGACTTAAAAAGAACTGGACAAGTTATTACGCTTCACTACTTCAAGGCGACAGCACGACCAACTTAACATTAGAGGAGCTGCCGTCCCTTTATGCAACTGGCTCAATGGAGCTCTGGATGGTGTCGTTACTGCTATCGTGGGGTGTCTCACCTTCGATCGATCAAATGTGTCAGGCTATTCTAGGCATTCAGCCAATTTGTGCACTGTACTCGTGTGCTCTTTATGATGCCATGTCAGGAGCGCTGACCATTCCGTTGCCATGGACGACACCTTTAACACCGGAACTTAAACAGTCTGAGGCACAAGAAAAAAAAAATGTCTTTGCCCGGCACTGGCAGCACTCGTCGGCTCTATCGGCTACTTCGGCGCTTGGAGTCGTGTCTTTTTGCATGAGCTGCATGGAATACAAGCATTCGAGATCTGGTAATGGGAGTACATCTCCCGCAAACAAGGAAGAGTTTCAAATTCTATGGAGTCAATTGATCACTCAACACTCAATTGTTATTCCAGAGAGTGTCGCTCAGTTCCGAGAACCCGCTCTTGAAGAACTGGCAGCATTTGGCTTCGACCCGTGTGAATACACGCAGCTCGCGGCGCGTACTTTACTGAGTGGTGTCATCAAGCGACTTTCAGCAACTGAAAAGAGCTCGTTGTCCGCTGAATATTCAGCGAAACTTCATTGGGAAAAAGTGCGTCTGGAGACGGAGACAGGGAGCTCGTTTCTTGGTACAGATGGGAGCCTCAGTACTGCTGGCGCAACTTCAAGCTCTCAACTGAGCGGCACAAGCACCACTAGCGGAAGTGGCACCGCACAAACTGACTTCAAATTGTCTTTATCTCTTGTAGTCGAACATTTAGGCTCGCTTGTGCTGATAATGGGTATGATTGGTACGTATTTCCCGGCTGAGATTTCGCCAGCGAGTGCTCGTGAAGTTTGTGATGTGCTAGTTTTTCTGCTGAAATCTCCCGAGAGATTTGTGGCGTCTGTTTCTGCAGAGTTGCTGACTAAAGGTCTCATGCTTTTCCGACCACACCTCGTGGACTTGTCGTCTTTGATCGTTCAGCTTTTGCTCATTGTTATGCGTGAAAAGCAAATTGCTCAAATTGACGAAAAAGGTCAAGATCTGTCCAGCCCGGGCGGCCCCCTCGCAG